AGGGGAAAATACAGACAGGTACAGGAGGAAAGGGTAATACATGTGTGTGGAGGGTATAATACAGACATGTACAGGAGGAAAGGGTAATACATGTGTGTTGAGGGTATAATACAGACAGGTACAGGTGGAAAGGGTAATACATGTGTGTGTAGGGGATAATACAGACAGGTACAGGAGGAAAGGGGAATACATGTGTGTGGAGGGTATAATTCAGACAGGTACAGGTGGAAAAGGTTATACATGTGTGTGTAGTGGATAATACAGACAGGTACAGGAGGAAAGGGTTAAAGATGTGTGTGTAAGGAGTAATACAGCGATTTCAGAAAGACTATGATTAAATATGCCAATCATGTATGATGCCCTTATCACGAAAAGCTTTTAATATGACTTTGAAGTCTCTGACATATTCAAAATCAAGGACGGTTCACCTGTAAGCAGACAGAACTTAAAATTTTTAAGATTTAATATTAGAAAAAAAATGTTTACAGAGAACTGTCAATTAATGTAATGGAACCAGCATTTGTTTGATGTTATAAGTTTAAGCAGCTCATCTGATGATAATCAACTTTGTTTGTGATACTGATTGTATATCTAACCACCCTGTCACCTCACTTCCTGTGATAGGTACAAGATCTGGTGGGCAAGGTTGTGAGGAAAGCCTTCAGGGACCAGCAGGACTACAGACCAGAGTGTGCCCTGTTTGTATGTAACAAGTGGGACCGGGTAAGTTAACTTCTATGTCTAGGTTAAGTAACTCACATTCTAATTCAGTTTGCTTTGAAATGAGGCAGGGTGAGTTTATTAGGTGTGATTTGTGAAGCTTAGTGGAATTAGACAGGGGCTGATCATTGTGAACAGGTATAGCTCAGTTGGCAAAAGTCTAGACTTTCCAAGTTGTAAGTTTGAATCTTGGTTTGGCTGTTACATTTTCTTTCTCCTGTTATGTAAGCCAAAGCACATTGTGTTTATCAGATCGAAATTCACGGTCTTCTCATTGACTGATGTGGAAACAGAATGTCAAAAAAAAACACTCTCAAGAAACACTTGTAACAGGAGATGGAAAAATGTATGACCAGTTCAGGGTTCAAACTGGAATTCTCTGAACTCTAGACGGACACTCTACCAATTGAGCCATCTGGTCGCCGACGATTGACCCAGTCCAGTTCAGCTACACACTCATATTTTATATAACTGTTCCAATGCTTATTCTGAATTTTGAAGTCTATCATATCTAGACATTCATCATGTTGCTTCTACATTTTGTGCCAGGTTCCAATAGCTGAGAGGAAGGAAATTTATGAAGACACCGTGAAAAAGCTGACTTGCAAAACTGGGTGGCCAGACTGTCAGGAATCACAGATATTCTGTTTTTCTACTTTGGAGGCCAGTTACGTACAAAAGGAACCTCCCCACAATGTCTACGGCCAGTTTTCCCGTCTCCTGGAGGAGATTCACAGACTCATTCCAAAAAGTAGAGAGATTTATCTGGTCAATTCAACAAGGTGAGAATAGATTGTATACAGTGTATCTATTAATAGCATTGACAAAAACAGAAGACAATTATTAACACAATATTTAAAAAAGAAAAGAAAAAAGAGCCTTAAGGTTATACAATTTTATCTAGGTGGTACTTTACCTTAATGTCAGAGATTACTGAAGATTTGAATCTGGGCAATTTAATGAGGTCACAAGTGATTCCTCAATTTTGATAATTTGTACCTTTCCAGACTATGTTTTTCCTATACATGTCCCCCACAAACTGATACGAATGGGCATGTCCGTTAAAACACATTTCTTATTAATAATTTTGTCTATTGACTATTGTTTTCATAAAATATTTTTCATAGACAATATTCTTGATGCTTCAGATTTCTGTTGACATTCCTGGACAAATGCTTATTTAGCATTGACACCAGACTTCCAAAAGATGGCATGACTGAGGAAGACAGAAAGAAAGATATTGAGACGCACAAAGCCAAGTTTATGGAAATTAAAGAAGAAATCAAAACGTTCTTTAAAGAGCAAAAGAAACAACTAAAGCAAAAAATTGTTGAAATTGCAGAGGACCTTAGCAAATTCTTGAGTAAGAAAGAAATCATTGGAGAAATATGTGATGTTTCAAAATATGACAAGGCTATTAAAGCTAGCACATGGAAAGATGCCATGGTTTGGACCCGAGCAGAATTGTATACTCAAATTACCAGTCAAATTCAGAACTGGGAAAAAAAGCACGGTCTCCTGGATAAAGCCAGTAAACAGATAGGAGATGAATTCCGCAACAACTTCCCAAATTTTGGTGCTCGAATATCTCAGACTGAGAAAAAATTTCGAGATGGTGCTAACAGAACGCTGTTAGCCAGGGCGGATGAACCGTTTATCCCCCTTTCAGTTGCCCGTCGATTTGAGACCTTAGACATGGGATTCAAGGTGCTTGTAGGTGTAGGAATGGCCCCCTTGTTTCTGCTTGGCGCCCTCTTCCGTCTTCCAATATTTGGATTTCTGGAACTGAAGCGTAAAATAACACAACTAACCTTGCAGTCAACGTTTGATAGTAATGACAAGATGCAGCAAAGGAGTGCAGTAAGACAGTACGCAGAGAGTGTGCTGATGTCCGTCATCAGCCCATTCAACCTAGCGCCACTCATGATCAAAGAGGTTCAGCCTCTCTTTAGATACGTGAAAACCCAGCGGGTCAACCTGACCAATGAAGTGGATGCTGACTTGAAGGTGATTGAGGAGGCAGAAAAAGACAAGAAGGAAGCAGATGCATTCAAGATCAAATTTGCACCTATACGAGGAAAATTCCGGAAAACTGAAGGACGAGCAAGCTACTTTTTATATATGCATATGAACAAACCACATGTCAAGGACTGCATCCCTGAGTCAGACTTGAAGGAAACCTCTAATATATCAGAAGGTTGTCTGTCTTACATCATGCAGGCCGAGGTTAGGGACAGCAAAGTGACAAAGGACTTTACGACAGTAGCTGTACGTCACAGTAAGATACCTGTGGATGCCAGCAACATAAAACAGATACTAGAGGATGATAAGTCGTACAGGTAAGTTTATACAACACCGATATTAGAGAATGATACAGTGTACAGGTAAGTTTATAGAACACCGGTATTAGATGATGATACGGTGTACAGGTAAGTTTATAGGACACCGGTATTAGAGGATGATACGGCGTACAGGTAAGTTTATAGACCACCAGTATTAGAGGATGATACGGCGTACAGGGAAGTTTATAGAACACCGGTATTAGATGATGATACGGTGTACAGGTAAGTTTATAGGACTCCGTTATTAGAGAATGATTCGGTGGACAGGTAAGTTTATAGAACACCAGTTTTAGGGGATGCTACGGCGTACACGTAAGTTTATAGAACACCAGTATTAGAGGATGATATGGCGTATAGGTAAGTTTATAGAACACCAGTATAAGGGGCTGATACGGCGTACAGGAAAGTTTATAGAACACCAGTATTAGAGGATGATACCAGGTACAGGTAAGTTTATAGAACACCAGTTTTAGGGGATGCTACGGCGTACACGTAAGTTTATAGAACACCAGTATTAGAGGATGATACGGCGTACAGGGAAGTTTATAGAACACCGGTATTAGATGATGATACCGTGGACAGGGAAGTTTATAGGACACCGGTATTAGAGGATGATACGGTGTACAGGTTAGTTTATAGAACACCGGTATTAGAGGATGACACGGAGTACAGGTAAGTTTATAGAACACCAGTTTTAGGGGATGCTACGGCGTACACGTAAGTTTATAGAACACCAGTATTAGAGGATTATACCGCGTACAGGTAAGTTTATAGAACACCGTTATTAGAGAATGATACGGTGTACAGGTAAGTTTATAGGACTCCGTTATTAGAGAATGATTCGGTGGACAGGTAAGTTTATAGAACACCAGTATAAGGGGCTGATACGGCGTACAGGAAAGTTTATAGAACACCAGTATTAGAGGATGATACAGTGTACAGGTAAGTTTATAGAACACCAGGATTAGAGGATGATATGGCGTACAGGTAAATTTATAGAACACCAGTATAAGGGGCTGATACGGCGTACAGGTAAGTTTATAGAACACCAGTATTAGGGGATGATACGGCGTACAGGTAAGTTTATAGAACACCGGTATTAGAGGTTGATACCGCGTACAGGTAAGTTTATAGGACACCGGTATTAGAGAATGATACGGTGTACAGGTAAGTTTATGGAACACTGGTATTAGAGGATGATATGTCGTACAGGTAAGTTTATAGAACACCAGTATAAGAGGATGATACAGTGTACATTAAGTTTATAGAACACCGGTATTAGAGGATGATACCGCGTACAGGTAAGTTTATAGAACACGGTTATTAGAGAATGATACAGTGTACAGGTAAGTTTATAGGACACCGGTATTAGAGGATGATATGGTGTACAGGTAAGTTTATAGAACACCAGTATTAGGGGATGATACGGCGTACAGGGAAGTTTATAGAACACCAGTATTAGAGGATGATACGGTGTACAGGTAAGTTTATAGAACCCCAGTATTAGGGGATGATACGGCGTATAGGTAAGTTTATAGAACACCAGTATTAGGGGATGATACGGCATACAGGTAAGTTTATAGAACACCAGTTTTAGGGGATGCTACGGCGTACAGGTAAGTTTATAGAACACGGTTATTAGAGAATGATACAGTATACAGGTAAGTTTATAGGACACCGGAATTAGAGGATGATACGGTGTACAGGTAATTTTATAGAACACAGGTAATAGAGGATGATACGGTGTACAGGTAATTTTATAGAACACAGGTAATAGAGGATGATACGGTGTACAGGTAATTTTATAGAACACAGGTAATAGAGGATGATACGGTGTACAGGTAATTTTATAGAACACAGGTAATAGAGGATGATACGGTGTACAGGTAATTTTATAGAACACAGGTAATAGAGGATGATACGGTGTACAGGTAAGTTTATGGAACACTGGTATTAGAGGATGATACGGTGTACAGGTAAGTCTATAGAACACCGGTATTAGAGGATGATACAGTGTACAGTAAGTTTATAGAACACCGGTATTAGAGGATGATACTGTGTACAGGTTAGTTTATAGAACACCAGTATTAGAGGATGATACGGTGTACAGGTAATTTTATAGAACACAGGTAATAGAGGATGATACGGTGTACAGGTAAGTTTATAGAACCCCAGTATTAGGGGATGATACGGCGTACAGGTAAGTTTTTAGAACACCGGTATTAGAGGATGATACTGTGTACAGGTTAGTTTATAGAACACCAGTATTAGAGGATGATACGGTGTACAGGTAAGTTTATAGAACCCCAGTATTAGGGGATGCTACGGCGTACAGATAAGTTTATAGAACACCAGTATTAGAGGATGATACCGCGTACAGGTAAGTTTATAGGACACCGGAATTAGAGGATGATACGGTGTACAGGTAATTTTATAGAACACAGGTAATAGAGGATGATACGGTGTACAGGTAATTTTATAGAACACAGGTAATAGAGGATGATACGGTGTACAGGTAATTTTATAGAACACAGGTAATAGAGGATGATACGGTGTACAGGTAATTTTATAGAACACAGGTAATAGAGGATGATACGGTGTACAGGTAATTTTATAGAACACAGGTAATAGAGGATGATACGGTGTACAGGTAATTTTATAGAACACAGGTAATAGAGGATGATACGGTGTACAGGTAAGTCTATAGAACACCGGTATTAGAGGATGATCGGTGTACAGGTAAGTTTATATAAGAGGATGATACGGCGTACGGGTAAGTTTTTAGAACACCGGTATTAGAGGATGATACCGTGTACAGGTAAGTTTATAGAACACCGGTATTAGAGGATGATCGGTGTACAGGTAAGTTTATATAAGAGGATGATACGGCGTACGGGTAAGTTTTTAGAACACCGGTATTAGAGGATGATACGGTGTACAGGTAAGTTTATAGAACAACGGTATTAGAGGATGATATGGCGTACAGGTAAGTTTATAGAACACCAGTATTAGAGGATGATAAGGCGTACAGGTAAGACTATAGAAGACAGGTATTGGAAGATGAAAGACATACAGATAAGTCTATAGAAGACAGGTATTGGAAGATGAAAGTCATACAGGTAAGACTATAGAAGACAGGGTTTGGAAGATGAAAGACATACAGGTAAGACTATAGAAGACAGGTATTGGAAGATGAAAGGCAAACAGGTAAGACTATAGAAGACAGGTGTTGGAAGATGAAAGACATACAGGTAAGACTATTGAAGACAGGTATTGGAAGATGAAAGACATACAGGTAAGACTATAGAAGACAGGTATTGGAGGATGATAAGGCGTACAGGTAAGTTTATAGAAGACAGGTATTGGAAGATGAAAGACATACAGATAAGTCTATAGAAGACAGGTATTGGAGGATGATAAGGCGTACAGGTAAGTTTATAGAAGACAGGTACTGGAGGATGATAAGGCATACAGGTAAGTTTATAGAAGACAGGTATTGGGGATGATAAGGTGTACATGTAAAACTTTAGAAGACAGGTATTGGAGGATGATAAGGCATACAGGTAAGTTTATAGAAGACAGGTATTGGGGATGATAAGGTGTACATGTAAAACTTTAGAAGACATGTATTGGAGGATGATAAGGCATACAGGGAAGTTTATAGAAGACAGGTATTGGAAGATGAAAGACATACAGATAAGTCTATAGAAGACAGGTACTGGAGGATGATAAGGCATACAGGTATGTCTATAGAAGACAGGTATTGAAGGATTATAAGACGTACAGGTATGTCTATAGAAGTCATGTATTGGAGGATGATAAGGTATACAGGTAAGTCTATAGAAGACAGGAATTGGGGAATGATAAGGTGTACATGTAAAACTATAGAAGACAGGTATTGGAGGATGATAAGACGTTCAGGTATGTCTATAGAAGACAGGTATTGGAAGATAAAAGGCATACAGGTAAGACTATAGAAGACAGGTATTGGAGGATGATAAGGCATACAGGTAAGTTTATAGAAGACAGGTATTGGAGAATGATGAGGCATACAGGTAAAACTATAACACTACATTTGTTTCAGGAAATATTTTAGGTGATCTTTTATCCCATTTAAGACGTATATGTCATTATTGAAGAGTAATTCTTACCAGTCAGTCTCTTGACAGTCCTACATCTGGTCATAGCCAGATAATAATTGTTTCATATCTGGTCAAAGTGTGTAACAATATTTTTGGCAACCTTTACAACCAGACATGTGACAGACCCATTGGTGTTACATGTATTAGCATACTTGCCAACTCTCCCTATCTAGGAGGGGGACTCCCCATTAAATGTAAATGTTGCTTTGCCGAGTGTTTGGCAACTGAAGAATCTTTTCCCGAGGGTTTAGATTCCTCTATCTTACCCACAAGGGGGTGAATGATTCTTTTTCTCTTACCCTGTTCTTCCAATGTGTATCATATACACAATGTAATGACAACGTTACATGCTAAATTCAGGGTTGTCGTTGATGAATTGTTGACGTGACGTCATTGTACTGTTGAAGTGCCGTCCCACAATTGTTATGAATAGGGGAACCCCCCCCGTCTCAACCCTAGGGTGAGACAAGGAAATCTCACACGGGTAAAAGTGTGGATACACCTGTCAAGGGTAAGAGAAACATACATATTTATGTTTTAATTTTGAGTATGCTAAATCTTCCCAATGGAAAATTTCAAAAAGTTTGCAAGTACTGTATTAGTAATTTGAGTTCATGATAACCACATATTCCGTCTTTTCGTATTGCAGAGTTATCTGCTCTTGTGAGCAGGTATTGATTGTTATGTCATTTGTTTGTGAGAGTAACGTCATCAATTTTTGAGAAGACAACGTAATTTTCTCACACAAACCAATGGTGTAACAATCAATACCTGCTCAAAAGAGAAGATAACTCTGCAATACGCAAAGACGGAATATCTCTATACAAGTCAAATAATATGTATTTTTGCCACTTGACCAAACATTAAACATGGTGCTGTATTGAAATTTCACAAGAGATGAATTCATTTTTAATCAGATCATGTTGCTAAATTTCCTGTGAAAACAGTTACCTGTTGAGTTTTTTTTTCTTTTCCATCTGGTTATGAGCTGAAATATCTGGGCCCGTATTCATGAAACCGTTCTCATGCTCAATATTTCCAAACTTTCTTGTAGCTCACTTAAATCATGTCAAACGATCAAAAAGTCAAATGTAAACATTGAAAACAATATTTGGCTTTAAGTCTATAGATCTCTTCATTTTATCTCGAAATCATTGACAAAATAAGATTTCATTATTAATTCATAAACTGAACAAGAAATTAGGCTTGAGCACAAAATCAATGCTTGAGCATGAGAACGGTTTCATGAATATGGGCCCTCTTGTGGTATGCGGTATTTCATGTACAATTCTGAGATTTTGGCCTCTTGGCCATCAGGTTGATATGGAGGTCTGGGGATGATGTTGGGTACTAGGGTATGATGGGTTAGACATATCCTAGCCTTACTTAGAGTTAGTTTCCAGTAAAGGATCTCTATATGTCCTCTCTCCTGGACTCAATCGTTGTATCGCCCTGACCTTGAAGACCGCTTTTAATCGGTGCTCTAAAGTTACATGATATTTCCTAATATCTCCAGCATTTATCTAGCCTATTCTTAAAATTAATTTAAGGATCGTGCGTTTACCACCTCCGATGGTACATTATTCCAATTGTTCACCACGGCACTCTGACTGTAAAATAGTTCTTTCTTTTAGATGTTAAAGCTTGTTGTTGGTATATAATAAATGGTGCTGTTTCTTTCCGGTACATTGTTCCACATTTTGATAAACAACCTGAATTTGTGGTGTGTATAGTTACTTTTGGTTTGAAAGCCATGCATGTTCTTGTGGTGTTGAATACAGGATGACATTTCTGCATACAGTGAGTATCGTAAAACCAAATACAACATACAACCACCTGTTCACTTACAAGTATGTATATATAGTATACACCTATATTTTTATGTTGCTTTGATGCCTAGAGAGATATTTTACCATTCACTAGAGTTGTTTCTACATTGTGTAGGTATAATACTCTGGTTCAGACGTTGGGGTGTGTGAAGACGTCCACGGAGATCTGGCAAGTGATGCAGCCCCTCACCTGCAACCTTCGAAAGCACTTATTGAGGGCCGTGTCGTCCCTGGAGAAACCTCGTCTCCTTACCCGTCTGGCTTCAGATGTGGTAGAAGGCCTACGTTACCTCCATCAGAGAGGCTACGTACATATGGACCTGTCTCTAGACACTGTCATGGTAATGACCGTCACAAGTGATCCTATAACATCATTAGTTACATAGCATTCTAAAATCTAAACTAATGTATCACAAATATAAAACAAAATCTCCTAATGTCATATCATATTTCCTTAAAACTCCATTTTGCTCTTTGGGTATTAGTATTTGTGTATAATTGTGTCGACGGCGACATATAGGTATTACTTTGTCGGCGTCGGTTGCATCGTCAGAAACAAGGTTTTCGTGCGATAACTTGAGTTCCCTTGGGTTGATTGAACTCAAACTTGGTTCACATATTGCATACCAATAAAGCCAGGACAAGTTGTGCATTTCAGAAGTTTACGTGCATTTTTAGAGGAGTTATGCCCCTTTTATTGCCAAATGTCGGGGTATTGTGTAGTAAATGCAAAAACTTTTTTATTTTTTAATCAATTCCTTTCAAATTTTGTACAGTAATGCTAGCGTATATCCATGAAGTTGTGGGGTGTTCATTTGTTTAAAAAAAATGGCCTTAGCTGTCTTCTCGTGGGAGTTTTTACACTGTAGATTATGGTTTTCTGTATGGATATTTTCAACACATTCTAATTTCACTTTTCATGTGCTATGTAATAAGGCGAATATACCATAGCAGCTTATATATCTGTATTACCACACAACAAACCATTAATATTAATTACATGTAAAGGGCAAAAAAAATGAAAGTTCCAGTTGGAAACTCTCTGCTACAATCTAATGGTACTACAGTTAGGCAACTAGCTGTTATGTTTCGTTTGATAAATCAAATTTATTTTTAAACTATTATCTAATTGTTTCATGATATAACAAAAAGAAACTAATTATGCACAGGTGGATGTACATGGTCAGGTGAAAGTTTGACAAAAGTTTTAGACAGTAATTCTTTGCCACAATTTGATTGGTCAGTGCTACTAAAGTTAGGCAAATAGCTGTTAGTCATGGTTTATTTCAAAAAATTCTAATTTGATAAAAATCCATTTCCAATTGCATCATATGTAACAAAAAGAAACTCCTTCTACATGATATACAGGTGGATGTACATGGTCGTGTGAAGCTGGTAAACTTGACGATGCCTAGGAAACTGCCCGCCACGCTATTCCCTTCTGAGGGCGTCCCTGTGCTTAAGTATGTTCACTTCGATGGACAGCTGATGTATCAACCGGACAAGACTGTATATACCATCCAACACGACATGTACTCCGTGGGGATCATGATGTACGAAATGTGGACTGGCCATCACGCCTTCCAGGACAAGTTTGAAAGCCGCCTTTTTAATCAACTCGGTCAGCTGATTAGTGTTCTGAAGGAGAGAAATTTTGATGCATTCCAGCTTCTCAGGAAGGAGCAGAGCTTGGCAAGGGAACAATTGTGGCTGGACACCATTGAAAGGTGTCTGTATGGAAAAGTGAGAGAGCCAGAGGACTGGTTCAAATGTATGTACGAACCGACAGGTATGACTTCCTCTGGAGAAATTACAAGCCCAATGATTTTTTCATATATTCGCTAAGTCTTCCTTATTGAGACGTATGGACTGACCTGTTGGATTTGACTAGATATTTTGTGGCAATAACATCAGAACATATTGGCAGTTATAGGTATTAAATTATGTAGAACACATTTTATTATACCTGTTTTTAGTATAATTCTACAGTTAATATAATAATCAATAGCAAAAATGTTCCCTGTGTGTTTAATTATGTATTGAAGAATTTAAAAGTAAAGGTTGGTTTGAGTTCATTTGATTTAGTATCCTATTAACAGAGGTTATTTAACCCTTTCACCACTGTAGACCATTATGGACTCATACCATATCAACCCATGGTAGAGTCTACTAAATTACATAGGGGTGAAAGGGCGAAGGATTTGCCTCTGTTTGTAATATATGCATGCATGTATGATTGAGATTGTTATGTTGGTGTATTTGGCTCTTTATGATAGGGGGGCGGGGGGGATCTGATGCTGACTTTAAGAGTGCTACCTCAGTGAAATACTGTGCTGAAGGCACCTAGGCACATTATTCCTACCTGTCACATTATCATGACAACAGTTTAACCTGTTTTTGCCCGAAAGGCTAATTCTAATTCATTTGAGATGTGACACAACATTTGGCTGCGCAGTATAACCACGATATACCATATGCAAATTTCTCATTTGCATATGAAGCCTGGATGGTGTTGATGATGTCAATGACCCTGATTGACCCTGAGTATTCTTGATGTCACCAATCTGCAACAGAGTGACCTATTATTTGAAGAAAACACCCAAAAATATCTTAAAAATATTGTTTCTTTTGATGGTTTTGGCTTCTATGAATTAGAATGGGGATAATCCTAGTGTATGTCTCGCCCTGAGGACAGAACCTAATGTCTTCCTCACTGTGGCGAATTTTGAACACTAAGGCCAAAAGTGAGGTATTTCCAAGCAAGGTGCTGGTAAATAAAAGGGTTGTTACGAAGTAGAGATCCCAAATGCTGCCATGTGATTTGTTTTATAGCATTTGTATCCCAGCCTAATTAGCCTGAACAAACCATGATAATGCTTGTCTGAACTAAAACCACTGAACAAACCATGATAATGCTTGTCTGAACTAAAACCACTGACAAACTATGATAATGCTTGTCTGAACTAAAACCACTGAACAAACCATGATAATGCTTGTCTGAACTAAAACCACTGAACAAACCATGATAATGCTTTCCTGAACTAAAATTATCCTAATCCCTACTACCAAACAATAAATTGCAATGCATTTTTTAATTAAATTAAACTGATCAAATGCATGAGTAGGTACTCTCACTGGAAACATTGACTTACAAATTATTAACGTGTCTTTTTATTCTAGACATGTATGTGTTGTCATGATCAAGGTCAGGGCCAGGGGTCAGAGGTCAAATCATTACACTCCTTTTTGGGACAAGGACTTTCAACCAACTGAATAATTGATTTATTTGGATAAATAGTATGATTGTTGCCAGTGTATTATTTACTGTAGATATCCTCTATTGGTTTTAGCAGAGCCATAAAAGCTTACACTATATGGTGTCAGGATTTAGTAACATTTTGTGGAAACACTATAGAAAACAGACATTGTGATGATCGATTTCATATTTTGTAGACAGTTGCTATTATATATAAGTATTGAATTGATAAAATTGAATGAAAACAGCATTTATTTTTTATTTTTAATGAACTAAAATTAATTGTATACCTTTATTGTTTGTAGGGTAGTTCATTCTTGGTAAAATGTCTGGCTGACTTCTCCACTTTGAGCCAAAAAGTGTGATATATGAAAACAAAAAGGTATTACATAACATTTACTATCTTTTAAAGCTATTTATGATATTTATAACTATATACCCAGACCCAGATGTTTCATACCCACTAGGTAGCCTCTAAATTACAAAACTGTCCAAGAGTCCCCACACCTACCATGCATGTTATCCATATATCTATAAAAACTGCAGCAGCATTGCTTTAAACATAAATATCCACATCAGTACTAGAGCAATGAAGAGTCAAAATGCACTTACAGCATCTTATAGTATTTAATGTTTCACTCATGTTGGTATCATATATATATATTACGTAGAAAAATGTTAAAATTGACATAATGAAAGTAAATTATGTAGATAAAATGTGTGTTATTGATGAAAGAAGGCGTACGTTACACTTTTCACGAACATTTTTACTGTATTAGATCTTCAGGTGCAAAGTAATATAAGGTTAATATGCACCTGAAGATCTATAATGATGATAATAATAATTTGAGGTTCTTATATACCGCTTTATCACATCCTAGTTCGTAGGTCGTCTCAAAGCGGTTCACAAATTATTGTCTGTGGTTATAGGGCCTTTGCAACCATCCAATATCTTTCTCAACTCCCCGGGGAGCATACAGCCAGCGCTGCCATTTCGGCGCTCACAGCTAGAATTCAACAATTCTAGCACTGCCCAACCACATACTCATTTACAGCTGAGCAGACTAGAACAAGAGGCGTAAAGTATCTTGCTCAAAGATACAACCAAGTGCTGTGCCTTGACTCGAACATGCAACCCTTCGGTCACGAGCCTGACGTCCTACCACTGGACTACCGCGCCTCCTAATATCTACGTATATAGAGTGTAAACATTTTGTGCGAAATGTAATGTCTTCTTTTGTCAATAACACAATTTTCTATATTGCTTACAATATGATAACAATATAGTACATAATATTAATTACACATACCATATTGACTTGGAGTATTATATATACAATGTATATCATATTGACTTATGTATAAAATCGTATTTTAAGTTACAGTATTTTATATGTATTGCCATGACTACAGTATAATGCATGTTGTATGAACTTTTAAGTATTGTATATTTCATGTTGATTTAAGGGTCCTCATACCACTACCAAAAAAGTAACTAACGTCACACTACCACAATTGGTAAAGTTTGGACAGTTTTTCATTGATATTTGAAATTCAGATCTTGTATCTGGAAGGTTTCTTGATTCTTGACAAAGACTCCCATGGTGGTTTATCTTCAGGAAATGTTTTGATAGAAAGCTAAACTCCTAGTGAGATTTCGTCCGTTTTTTCAGTCATGATTAGTACCCAAAATGGTACAACATATCACAGGCTATGAAAGGTTTTATTTCTACTATTTGATGTGCTGATTGCAACAAAATATATTGCTTTTATAAATGCCATACTGAACAACAACTGTATAGGTACACGTTTATTTTATCCGGTTATAATTAAGGACCAGAAATCAAAATTAAAATATTGATATAAATATTGTATAGTTAGTTCCTTCAAAATCCTCCTCACAAAACTTTGCAGGGGAAATGCTGATAAATATCACTTTTGTTATACTGTATGAGATAAAGGCTCAAATTTAATTTAAAAAGTACTATTGAACCATTATCTGACCGTGTACCAATTGCGATAGCGTGACGTTATGTATTGTAAACTTCTTCACCAGACTAAAGCATTGATAAATCTTTGCTAAAAAAAACATCCCTTCTGGAACTTTTATGAGAAAAGAATAAAGACGAAATAAACAAAATGAAAACTTGAGTGGAAATCTTTAGTGTTTTGCCTGAAGTAGGACCGGGACCCTTAAAGTACATTAATTATAACAATTCATAGTATTATATCATACAGACTATTTACAGTACATATTATAGTGTATTTTTTTCATATTTTCAGTCATTACTAGTTATTGGTTGAACAACTTGAAAGCATGCAGAACAAGTTCGCCGCGAACATGCTATGTTACAAAAGTTTTTCAGGAAAAAACACAATTTTCCACAGGAAAAATTAAATAGGTGGAAGCTGATTTCTACCTTACCTGCTGTCATGCCCCATCGTGACATAGATATATACATTACCCATGTCTTTGTGTATTATAGATATTTTAGTAATGTAGCTAGTGTAGTAAATACCCCCGGTTACTATTAGCAAAGGGTACTATGATTTCTTTTGTATGTGTCTCCATCAGCAATTATCATGACTGCAGTGCTCATTTTTGTTTTTATCTTCAACAAACTTGATGGGAGTGTGTGTTTTAGAGCAGTACTTACCCCAAAGATCAAGGTCCCTGTTACTATAGATAAAATATTTGGATCATTGATCTAGAAGGCTCATATATGAACGCAAAGGCATGAGTATTTTAACCCATTAAGTTCTCCAAAGATTAAGGTCATTGTCAATATTGCATTCAGTAAAACCAGAAAATCAGAAAATTTCGAAATAATAATCAAGATTTCGATGATTTTGTTGGGAAATATTGCTCTATTCTGATCAGTACTTGAGGAATTAGTTCCAATTTGATTTTTAATATCTCGTTTATTTTTGAGGGAGTTATGCCCCTTTTCAGATAGTTTTCATCAGAGCAGTGAGTATAAGATAACCTTTGGCTTACAATTCACTTTGACAGTAGCTTCAACAATTTGTAAAGACAGCAGGCCTTTTTTTATGGAAAACTTTCTTTACATGTATGCCTATGAACGACTTACAAAGCAAGCGATGCATTTTCCTGATATTAAGTGTATTAGTAGACCACCATAATGAGAAAACAGGCATTTTTTGGACTTGTGTTCACTTCTTTTTATCGATATGCCAAATGTTTGAGTTTTTTGTGATAATTGTGTATGTAGCTGACTTGCATTTAAACGAAGTCGTGACTATTAAACAAATCTGATTATATTACTTGGTTTTGTGTTTGCTTTGTCATTGTAATGATACAAATGTATCAACGGACAATGGACGAATGGACACAAACAACAGTTCAACGGCTTACTCAGGTCTGATGGACAGGTGACTGTCAGAATTATCTAGCTCATACAAATTCTTTGCTGGACTGATGAATTCCAGCAACACCTCATCCTAGTCTTAAGAAAGATTTCACACTAATAAATTTGAGTGAACATCCCCAAACAGAAGATTATTATAATTGATATTTGTAGTCAGAAGGATTGAAAGAACCCATTAATAGGAAACAGTATTTGACTGATGTTTCCCACCTATATAACTCTAGACACCTTGACCTCGATGTCTGGATATATTTGAAGTAAAAGGTATTGATCGAATAGACGAGGAAACTTTATTCCTTAATTGCTTTCACAAATGAAAGAACCAATTGTTCTATAATTTTAACTCTTGTTTAGATTTTTGAAAATTGTAACAACTTCCCTTTTTGGGCACCATCCCTAAACCTGTTCTCAAAATGGGGCCAACTATGTAGAAATCTGAAGCAAAAGGATACCTTGTATAAAATTTGGTAAAATTTATTCAGTACTTTCAGAGGAGAAAATATATTGGTTTCGCTATATAACCCTACATAAACTATGACCCTTTCGTGTGGCCCCATTAGGGTCTGGGGGACTCATTTGAGGATAATTTATTTCCATTTCTAAACCTACACACATGAAAGGAAAACTCTTTAATTATAGCTGTGCTATTTCTAGGTCTTAGGTGAACATTTTTGAAAATTGTTTATCATTACCCTTTTTAGGCCCCCATGAGAAAAAGGGGCACAAAATGAATACACATAGATGCCTCACAAACCAGTTTGTGTGGAATCTCTTCAGTGATTCCAGGTAAGAAATTGAAAGTAAATAACAAAAGTTAACATACAACAAAGGATGCACGGCGCATCATTCAGAAAAGAGACAGCATAAGCTTACTGGTATCTTAAGGTCAGGTGAGCTAAAACGGGAGTAATTTAACTCCTTTTTGTAGGAGATTGTTCATCTCCTTGGCTGTCATAGTTCAGTTCATTAAAAAATGAAATAAAAGAAGCAATAAATAAATAAAACATTTTAATATCGGTAATCCAATCACTCATAAGATGAAAATACATTCACATTTCAAGACAAACATTCAGAAAACTTTTGCAGACTTCAATATGACCAGCTTCATCTGGGTGTGTTGACTTGCGTATTTTTTTCTCTCTGAGCTACGATCATGTGATTGAGTATCTACTCTGAAGTCACCGAGATGTTACCCTCATGTTGCTGAAGAGTTACCTTCATGTCTATAATCCTCACATGGCGAGTACTAGCTGCCTTCAAGCTTTGTATGTTTGCCCTGAGCTAGTATCCTCACATGACATGTACTAGCTACCTATAAACTTGGTATGTTTGCCCTGAGCTAGTAAGGCCCCATCACTTTTCTTTTTAATGTCCACGTTCAGAAAAGCTAAAGTCTTTCCCACTTTGACGGAATTAGCCTCGATCAGAATGTCCTCGCCAACTTTTGCTGCCTTCATATACCTGAAAAGATGTTAAATAATGGTATATACCTGGAAAAGATGTTAAATAATGGTATATACCTGGAAAAGATTTTAAATAATGGTATATACCTGGAAAAGATGTTAAATAATGGTATATACCTGGAAAAGATGTTAAATAATGGTATATATCTGGAAAAGATGATAAGTAATGGTATATACCTGAAAAAGATGTAAAATAATGGTATATACCTGAAAAAGATGTTAAATAATGGTATATATCTGGAAAAGATGTTAAGTAATGGTATATACCTGAAAAAGATGTAAAATAATGGTATATATCTGGAAAAGGCATTTAAAAATGGTATATACACCTATACTGTAGTAGGACGAGGAATAGTGGTAAAGATAGTTCCGTTGCTGGGGCTCGAACCCACGAAACTTGGCTCTCCGGCCCGGTGTTCTACCGCTGAGCTAAACGGAAATTCCCTACAGCTGACGTTTGTAAGGCAACCTAATCAATGTACTTCTTTTACAATGTAATAAAATATTCTATAATCATCAACCTGTGGTCAGGATCAGAATCTATAATACAGAAGGTGCTGAACAATCAGACAGCAGCTATTGTCTAAACGGGATTCTTCAGATAACATTTTTGTTTGCCAACACATTGATCGATTTTTATCAGCCTTGGCAAATCATTCATTTCAAAATTCAAACAGGTCCAAATTAATAATACTAGTAACATTTATAATTCATCTCCCTTTACCATAATGTCGAATAATTGCAAAAGCAGTAACATTATCTGATGTATCTGTTTGCAACACAGTTTTAGATGTTAAATGGAGCACCTCTATGGTAAATAAACTCACTAGTTAAATTCAGCTTTTTTTCTACGGTAAATAGTAAAATTTTGAGCAGTTCTTTGGTAAATAAACTTACGAGATGTTCATTTCCACACTAACTCCTGCTACCTGTCGCTCGGAGGTCAGTAGGGCCCAAGTGGACACAGCATCCACTAATGCTGCGGTCATTCCTCCATGTAAGGTGCCCAGACGATTCTGATGGTCCTCTGTAACAGTCATCTCACACACCATTTTACCATTGCCACCGGACACAACTTTGACCTTGAATAGAAACAGCTCATATACTTGTAATATGGTTTAGGTACTTTAACTAAGGTTTTGTGTTTTTGCAGTTTAAGAGCTAGGTCATATATTATATGTACAGGCACCTAACATGTTCACATAATTTTAACAGAAGCTTAATCGGATGTATTAAAATGTTAATAAGTAGAGTAGTAAATGTGTAGATCCAGTTATTACACATGGCGATGATGTGAGGTCTTTCCCGGATTCAGAAGAATGCTATTAATTGATTACGTAACATTACATAATTATTATGTAATTGCGGTTTCTATACATGATTACGTAATATTAATAAACTGGATGTACTGTCCCAAACCTGGTCGTTGTGATGATATTTCAGACCTGTGATTTCAGACCTGTCATCGAAGGCAACATATATTTTTCACATGATGCTTCATGCCGAATTAAATACAAATTGGTTCATTGATCTGAACTTTAAAAGTTAAGTCTTTTAGAGATATTACCCTCAATGCGTCCTGCTTCTCTGCTTCCTGAAACTGAAAGTGTGTGTGTGTGTGTGTTTGGAAGGTGGGGGGGAGGGGGGGGAACCTCCCAACTCTAGACATACGTTCTGTATATAACCTTACGCTATACATACATTCTACCTCTGGTTCATGCAGCATGCAGTCACCCAGCCTAGTTTATATCTATGTATACCTCCCTCCTTTTCTCAAGTCTTCGCCCCCCATTTTAATTTTAATTAGTTCAGTTGTTTAATTTCTATTCCATTAAGTGTAACTACCAGAAACATGTGTTAGGCATTATAGGCACCGCTGTAACAGGAGATGGAAAATACACCACAGTCAGATATAGGGATATTGTGTCAATAGCATTAAGTGTGTGCATAACCACCGTTTTAAACGAATAAAAATGTTCGGCGACCAGATAGTTCAATTTAGTAGATCCGTCTAGAGTTTAGAAGGTCCCTGGCTGTGCATTTTTCCTCTTCTGTTTACCCAGTGGTGCCTGTGACCAACCCTTGTTTTAAGCGTTTGGTGTATGCTTTAAAGCTTGGCAATGGGATACCCAATCCTGGGTTGTAAATAGTTGGGTCTTCGGGGGCGAAGACTTAGAAAAAGGAGGGAGGAATGACAGTGGAACTGGACTGGGGTTCCACTGTCATTCTATATATATATATAGATACCTGTCAGGTTTCCAACCAGAGGTCGGCGACCTGAAATAGCTCAATTGGTTTAAAGAGCATCTGTCTAGAGTTCGGAAGGTCTCAGGTTCGGTCCCAGGTTCGAACCCCGGTCTGGCCGTGCATTTTCCTCTCCTGTTACACTTACATACAAACTTAAAACAATTCTCGTGACTATTTTTATTGACAGAAACAAATGCCTGTGCTAGTAATGTAATTTGTTGAGGGGAAATAACTCTTCGGACCACAAGTTTGGTTGTCCACGTTTGGGCTAAATACATGCAGTCTGCGCTGCACATGTCAATTGTTGTTCAAGCAGGGCCATGCTGTTTAACTTTAAATGCACTTTATTAGTCATTTAATACTAAACTTATTTGAAAGGTCTACTGTAGATTTCCTCTCCGACCTCCCGGCATCGAAAACGAAACCAGACATGTCAGACTCATAAATAACTTTATAAGTATCTCATGTGTAGGTCTCGTGATTACTTTGATTTGTGGTACGTGTGTCGTATATCTTACCAGCTGAGATGTTAAAAGTAAATACCTTGTCCAGTATAGACTCAAATCCTCGGCATTTTGTTCCAGCTTCCACAACTTGCCTTAGGAAACGAAGTCCATTACCACTCATGATTATAACGATCACTTCAAGGGAGACAACTGTGTCAGAGCCCGACTTAACTGCATCAGATTAAGGATGCGCTACTTATGATTTTTTGACATATTTTAATAACTCTTTCTTTATGATCAGTCTACTGTATACAAATGATCAGTTTATTACCCAATCATTAAAATGCATGAGAACCTGTCACAATATTTGTACACGGACTAATTAACTCATCAATTTAATAACTGTTTAGAATTCTCCAAATTTTAAAGTAAATCTGTTCAGGGATGTGTAGTGGTCCAAACTTGTTCATATAGATATTTCATCTTTCAACTCTACTCACTGATGCATTGTGTTATCAGAACATTTTTTTTTAATTCGTTTCTGATTGGAGATTTATTTAATTTTAGCTCCCGACACCATGGAATATAGTCTCTTACCAACAGCTATTAGTCCATGTTGGAATGAAATGCCTGTATTCTTCCATTTTTCATTTAATTTAACAATTAGGGTAATGTGGCATCGCATTACCTAACTGGGATGAATTGCTATAAGGCTTCATGATACTTCAGGATGATGCCATGCGTGCACATGACTTTGTAATGTACTAATTATAAAATATCTTTTTGAATTCTCTTTACCTCTATATGACAAACATATATATGTGATGTAAATGCTCGTATATCATTATGTAACAAACATAAGAATGAGACCAATCGAGTTGCTGTTTATTAAATACATGTACCACATTGTTCCTTATGGTGGCTTCTAGTCCGAATTATTCTGACGTTTTATCAACTTTTTTTACATCGGTCTGGCGTTGATTAACCGTTAATCAACGCCAGACCGATTTTAAAAAAGTCGATAAAACGTGAGAATAATTCGGACTAGGTGGCTTCCAACCTCAATATCCATGGGATACACTTACTTTCGCTCTCTGCATCCCTGGAATATGTCATAGCAAAAGTGAAGACTGACAGTGAGCCACCTTGTGGGTGAGACAAGAAGACAACTTTGATCCTTTGATGTACATCAAAAGAATCTGTCCGTCGGTAATGGTAAAATTGACTGGCTTTGAAGTATCAGCCAAGGTATCAGTCTAGGGTGTGCTTTTTTTACCTGAGACCAATCAAATAGCTAGCCAGGTGCCTTCAATTTTGCTATGACATATACAAGGGGTGCAGAGAGCGAAAGTGAGCGTGACCCCTGAAGTGTCGGGGATGCAACCAGGTGGCGCACACCGAGCCTTCATTTTGCTATGACATATTCCTGGGGTGCAGTGAGCGAAAGTGAGCGTAACTCCTGAAGTGTCGAGGATGGTAGGCGTCAAAGAAAAACAAACAATGGAGCGTTATTCATGTACACAGCGTTTTTATTAGACGAATAAATTCCTGCTGTATATTAACAGATGGTGTGTCCATGATGATAACAGATAAATATACTTCATTCATGCTGTATGTCCAAGCTTTCTGTATATAGTGACACAATCTCTCACCATAATTTACTATTATCCTGGCAAATCTGAACACACAATTTATACAACCTGATGGGCCAGCGATCACAGACCTTCATAACACAATAATTGGTATCTCTGATATTCAACTACAGAAAAATAAAATTTACACCATTTAAACATTCTGAATACATATACGCTACATGGAAGGAAATGTTTTGTCTTGCTTAGGTTACCACACACAACTGTAAATAATAACGAGTTTCATTTCACCAATAAACTGGGATTCCCACTTATGAAAAACTTAACTTAATGAGAGAAACCTTGTGTTAAATATCACCCTATTTAAACGCTAGCTTATTGTGACAACAATGTGGGCCATTAAAACAAAATCTAGTCAGCTTATTCAGAAGTTATACTGTGAAGTGATAAACTATATGAAGATATCTGGTTGGGTTGTGCACATAAGCATTTGATTATCAACACAATTTAATGAACGCTTCACTTGAAAATCGAGAATATAACGTATGCTGTGGAACTTTTTACCACATTTTAACTTTTTTAGCCTTCCCCAAAAAGTCTATACCAGATATCACAATACAAATCCTTGACTGCTCAAGTGCAACACAGAAAGCGACCAGAACAGATAGCAGGCATTCTAAATTAACTTCTATACAAAATTAATGCTTGCAGATGATTACTCATCATCATATTCGTCACTCAAATCACATATATTATCATTCAAAATGGACGTCCTGAGCACACCTTTGAAGGAACAAATTTCATCACATCTATATGAAGAATTCACAGATAATAAGAACACACTTAATTTGAAATTAATGCAGAAATATCAAGATGTCTATGATGTTATAAGAAGGTAACTTTTATAATGAATGGAAGAGTTTTACTTCCGAAAGGAAACAAAATACTTTATCATTGTGACACAATACTATTGAAACACAGAAATCAAATATTCAATGAATATTTTACATGCAACATTTAGTAAAGAAGTCTGCTGACCTGGATGAATGGCACTGTCAAGAACACCTCACTAACATAAGTGTTTCAAGTCATAAATATTGGACACACTAATGAAAACTTGTAAGCATCGTTAATGATAATAGTACTGTATACTGAGAAAAACTTGCCCATTCAAACTTTCGATTCTCTGATTGTTCATTTCGCCCTTTGCATAAAATAACTACATTTGGTATATACCGGGTACATTATGTTGTTGTTAATGTTGACCAATATACGGAGGGCGAAAAAGGTGAAACTTGAAATGTGGCAAATATTTCCTGGTATACAGTAATATCAGTATCAGACTGAGTACACAATCTCATATTGAGATGATAAAGGTATAGAGAACTAATAAGTACATGAATTCAAGTATATTTTCACAGAGGGCTCGAGAAATTTAGTCAAAACATAGTCTGCTGTCAAATGTCTTCATGATAAATCACTCTGTAGTGCAATTTTCATTCTTAATAAAACCTAAACTATTCTAACACAAGGTGACATTTCTATAACTAAATGTCAGATAGGGGATGAAAATATGGAAGTAAAGAATGTGTGTTTTGTGGAGTTGACAGATATCACAGTTGTTAGTGCAGGAACTGATGTGTTATCTCGTCGTGATTACTCATACATTAACAGCAGTGAACATATTCTACAGTCTCGCAGACACACAAATATCTCAACATAAACTCACGTAAGAGCACAGGTGTTTCAACATTTAAAAACAAATTTGTAACCACGCAACAAACTTGGGATCAAAACGATAGCCCCTACCATGATCAAATGTATGGTAAGTTGATATATCGCCCTCTTCGATGACCATATACTCTCCCCTCACATGATCAAACGTTTAGTAAGTAGATATATTACCCCAACCAATGATCACACACAACGGGAGTAAGGAGATAAGCCCTTACGATGATTTGAATTGTACGATTATTAAGCAGAAACCAGGAGCAGTTTTAGAACTAACAATAACATAAGCAACAGCAGGGCTAAGAATGTGTATGTGGGACATTAAAAAGGACTTCTATATTTACATCTGTATATTGTGAACATAAACAAATAGTGTTGGTAAATACAGTTCGGATACATGTGCTGAAATATTGCATACACTTCCCCCTCATCAAGTTCACTCTCTTTGTAAAATTACCGTCTTAGATACAAATAACTGAAAGTGACAGTCAGCCAGTACTCCATTATTTTATGAAAACTCAATGAAATTTTAATGAAAATTTAATGAAGATACAGTCTGACAATTCCTGCCAAAGTTTGGTGACAATTAAGACTAACGAGACCATATTGCACCGATGTACACACTATTAAGGGTTAAATACTGTTGAGAGAATATTCTGGTAAATAAATATCTTTTTATCAGTCTTTGACAATTAAATTTCAGAGAAATAATTTTTCAAAAAACTATGAAATAATATTTTTGATGGCCTATTATATGTATATCAATGATGATAATAAAGAATAGGGAAAACATATGTATTAAGATTTAATTCAATAACATAAAACTACCGAGTAAAGTTAAACATTTTAACTGAAAAGTGTAGATATCGAATTTCATTGATATGTACAATTTCAGGTCTAGAAAATCAACATTTTCATGTCCAAGAGCGAGTCTGCATCACCCAAGGTCTCGTTATTAGACACTGTTGTTTCAGGTTTGAGCCAAATATAGCCTTTTCTGTGTACACAGTGGGATACATCACAGGCTGACGAGGGGAAACTTAAATAAACATGACGTAGAGGAAACAATCTCTTTGGACTTCGTGAAGATGACAGCTTTTATCATGGAAGGATAAAGACAGGTGTTGGTGACATTAGTATGGTAATCTCTTGAGTTTAGCCCAGTGTTTGGAGTGTCTGGCGTGAGCAGGCATAGTGTCTCTGTCCTCCGTGGCCGCTAGACCAGCGTGCTCTTGATATCTTGTACAATACTAGAAATTAAGTTGTTGTCTGAACATTTTCCGTCTACTTTCAGCTCTTCATTATTCTGAAATGAAAAGGACAGTCATCAATAAATACATCTGTTTGTATTTTATAGGGTGTACCTCAAATTGTAGAATATATATGAAAAGGATTATGCAATAATATTTGCATGAAGTAAATCATAGAACAGCCAGTAAGATTTCTCTTGCGTCTTTAATACAGATACAATCCCACATTTCAGAATTCCAAAACAACATACTATATTCCGCAGTGTTTAGTGTCTCAGTTTTACAAGAAATTCAACAAGTTTTCCCTAATTCCGTAAATGGAACAAAAGTACCGGTAGTTTGTTATCTAAGTAACAAACTAAAACGATTGTGTACGATATGATCAGAGATAATAATTCAGTGTAATAAAATACTGCATTGCATTTTTATATTTGGAAGGATACATAAATATTTCTTCCCACACAATTAGACAATAAAAGAATGACTTGAAGACTTGATGGATTGATTGATTGATTGATTGATAGGTTTTACGTCTGCTTCACTACCGAGTAGTTCGGTTATCCAGCAGACGAAGACATGAGAATGACATGAAGACATCTGAAGTAGGCGTTTATAGGACATACTAACTAGAAAACATATGTGCAAGATTCATCTAGTCATTGCTATGTACAAGACAGTTTCGCTGACATTCTGCCAGATACAGTGACTCGATGAATCTTGCACATATACCTGACATTCCTGCTAAATGAACCTTTTCAGTGAAAACTGGGAGATATTTGTGATGAATATATACTCACCATTTTGACTAGAAGACATACATGGTGGCCTTGTATTGATCGACTGTACAGTGAAGCACTATTTGATACTTGTTCTACAACTGAAACGACAAAAACGGAAAACTATATCACAACCTGCATATTAGTTAAGGAGCAGACAGAACAGATGGAACAACATTAGTGTTAACATCCCAGAACAAATTGGAAAGTCCAAGAAATAAATTATCTGAACACATGAAATTAGTTGCATTGAAAAAAATTGAATTACCTTTTTCTTTTAATTTTGAGGTAAATCTTTCATGATTCAAATTTTCTTTTCTTTCATGTTAACTTGAATTTGAATCTAATAATGATCTGTTAAAATTGCTTTATATAATTTATTGATCAACAAGCTCAGTGATCATTTTATAACCATTGCCAAAACCTACCTGAAAAATGTTGATAAAAGCAGATTTTGGCTAATACATGATGAAACTGCGTGTCTGAAGGGGTGACAGAAATGGAAGATTTGGCATTTAAATCTCCACTTGATAAAAGAGAAGCAAAATCACCCCTGGAAATAAAAAGAAACAATTAAATGAATACCATTCTCATATAAATAACTTGGTAAATAACAATACCTATATCATAATCCAATGTTTCAATGACTACAGCCTTTTTCATGTCCCTTGACCAAGACTTTGTTCTGAAATTTAAATTCCCCATAGAACTATCAAAGTTAATATTTGTGAAAACCAGACCCTGCAAAATTTCTTTTCTCCGTATCTGTAATTAATCGAGTTTAAAAAATTTAAATTTTAGGACAGTTCAAACTAAAATTGATAATTTTAATGATACAGTTGTACTGTAAGTAATAACCTGACCAATGACAGGTCAGCAAGGGCCCTGCCATGTGACTGACTCTAACCCCTCCCCAAACTTCAGCAAATTTGTACTAACAATAGCCTTGACCTTGACATTAGAAACTTTTTAAACCTACATATCACAGTGTATCAACATGTATAATTTCAGAACTTTAGATAATTCTTTTGAATTTTGAGATAATGACCATACCTCCATAGTTCATGTTTAGCAAGAGTAAATTTGATTTTAATCTTAAAAACTTTTCAAACTCTGTTTGCATAACTACATATCACAGTGTACCATCATGTCAAATTTCAAGAAGATCAGTCTTTTGGATTTTGAGATTGTCTTCAGAAACGAACAGATGGATGGACAGACACTGTGACTAGTATAGTGCACCATAGCTCCAATGAGGAGCCCTAATAACCACAAGTATATTGAATTTTAACAGAGCACCATCAAAATTCCCACTGAGTACACACAACCCTTGCCTGCTGTTATTTAGGTCAGTATACTTACCCACTACAAGGTACACTAGTCAGGAAAGCACAACACGGCAACTCTACTTTAAAGTCCACTTTATCATGGGTTGCACCATCATCAGTCTAAAACAGAAGTGATTGGTACACTAGCAGTTTACATCACAGCAATGACTCCTAGACAGGGACATTGTACTGGCAGTGTTTACCTGACGGGGACATTGTACTGGCAGTGTTTACCTGACGGGGACATTGTACTGACAGTGTTTACCTGATGGGGACATTGTACTGACAGTGTTTACCTGACAGGGACATTGTACTGACAGTGATTACCTGTCCTATCTCCCATAGATACAACAACAATGTTTTTATAAGTGGAGATTATGTTACTCCCTCCACTAATTATTTTATGGACGAAATACCTGAAGGTCTCATATCAAAGTTTTAATTTATACACAATGTACATATTAAATGTGTCGCAACATTTCAAGACCAACTGGTCCCTTTGTCAAAATATGACTCCTGAAATGATGTGACACGTTTAATACAAATTTTGTTTCTGTTTAAAGTAAAACCTTTATATTACATACATGTATTTCAAAACTGATTAACCTTATAAAAGTATATTACTAAAGGTGTGCTTTTTTTAGATTATCAAATAGAACTCTACATTGTAGCATACAGTCATTGTTGATTTTACCTTAAATCTACAATTTCTGGAAATAATTATTTCATTCAAAAAGATGACATTTCTATTTCCTCCTTTTTACCATTTAAATAAATTTGAAGTCTACAGAGAAGTGTCCCTTTGTTACCAGAAAAATAAAGATAAGTGGCCCCTTATTAAGTCTATACGCAAGTGCCCCTTCAAGTTACTAGAAGAATAAAAGGTCCAGAAGAATAAAGGAAAGTGGCCCCTTAATTTACCTTAAGTATACAGGTAAGTGTCCCTTTTATTTACCTTAAGTATATAGGTAAGTGTCCTTTTAATTTACCTTAAGTATATAGGTAAGTGTCCCTTAATTTACTTTAAGTATAAAGGTAATTGGCCCCTTAATTTACTTTAAGTATATAGGTTAGTGGCCCCTTAATTTACCTTAAGTTTATAGGTAAATGGCTCCTTAATTTACCCTAAGTATATAGGTAAGTGTCCCTTAAATTTACCTGAAGTATATAGGAAAGTGGCCCCTTAATTTACCTCAAGTATATAGGTAAGTGTCCCTTAAATTTACTTTAAGTATATAGGTAAGTGGCCCCTTTATTTACCTTAAGTATATAGGTAAATGGCTCCTTAATTTACCTGAAGTATATAGGAAAGTGGCCCCTTAATTTACCTCAAGTATATAGGTAAGTGTCCCTTTAATTTACCTTAAGTATATAGGTAAGTGGCCCTTTAAGTTACTAGAAGAATAAAGGTAAGAGATCCCTTAATTTACCTTAAGTATATAGGTAAGTGTCCCTTTCAGTTTCTGTGGCATGTTGATGCCTTGTACGGTGAAGGCAAACTGGCCCTCGTTCTGGGACTTCGGCAGGAGTACAAACGGCACTTTGACAGCATCATGGTGAGTGCTACCCATCTAAACAACAACAGTTTTATATACATCATGATGAGTGCTACCCATCTTAACAACAACAGTTTTATATACATCATAGTGTTAAGTTAAAAATACACTTACAATGCTTTTCTAAAATTATGGCTATTCCATTAATGATTGTATGGTGGGGTGGGAGGCACATGTATTCATATATCATAGAAGATGGGTTTAAAACCAGATCTGCCTACCATTTTTAATATTACATCACATTTAATATTTGATTGATGATGAGGTTTAATATTTAATTGGCGGTGGGTCTCCAATAAAGTGGCTCCCAACCCTCCCGTATAGTTATTTTTGGAACAGCCCTTCAGTGGAAATAGTGTTTTTGTAATAAAGCTTTTAAAGATTCTGCTATAAGACTATCGGTGGGTAAAGGGAATACCTATTAAGTGGTACCTGGTAAGTTTTAAGGCTACTGGAGGACAGTAAATAATTACATTGTAAATAAAGGGCTATATATTACATATCAATTAAGTTATAAGCTGTTACATGTGAATAAACGGCTAAGTACAAAGACTACTGGAGGACGGTAAATAGTTACATTATAAATAAGGGCCTATGTATATTTCATATCAATAAAGGGCTGTGTATATTTCATAATAATACAGAGTTATAAGTTGATACATGTGAAAAAATGGCTATGTACAAAGGCTACCGGTGGATGATAAGTTTGGTGGTAAGAATGAAACTTGGCATCAATTTAAAATGGGATGGAAAGTGAGTGACCAACACATACAAGAACAGGGACACTTACACCTCTTATTAATTTTGTGTTAAGTGTGTCCATCACGTTGAACTCGAGGTCCTTGACTTGGTTGTCTGTGAGGTTTAGGAACACTACAGATATAACCACTTGGTCTGTCCGTGTGGGGTTCACTCTCGTCTCGTACGTCTGTAAAAAACACCAGACAAATCAAATACGTTTAAATCGGCCAATGTTTCACAGCGGTTAGCCAGCTAATTACTCTTATTTTGAATGAATGTTCTGCAAATTCATATTTTCAACTTCCCAGAGTAAGTGCCTATATGCGTGTACAAAATACCAAAAAGGATGGACTGAAAATCGGTCTCGAAGACCCACAGTAAAGATGACTGGACAACATACAAAAGCAGGTGATCGGCAACTTTTATTACAATGTCGACATGTTTAAACATACTACATGCAATGCCATCAGAATGGTGTTTACAATTCAAAATACAATGTAGACCTAAAGTAAAGAAGGCCGTGCCTTTAATTTGCTTGGCAATGATCACATGTTGTATTAAGTGAGAACATCGACAGTACATAGATAAAAGACGTCATGATTAAAGTCTCAAAGTCTGTTAGAAATTACCAATCTCTTTTAACGACAGCTAAAACATTCAAATCAATAATTAGCTCTACAGAGAATTAATTACACCAACCCTGTTTAACACAAATATTATTTGTCTCCATCCTATAGTTTTTCACCTTCAGAATATAAAACTTACCATTTTTACTGTATCATTTTCGGCTAATTGCTTGTACCCTGACATCGGCTACAGAGGATACAAAACATCAGTTATTGAATGCCCGTAAATGAGGTAGGTTGCAAATATATATATTTTTTGTATGACAATTGTGTAAAATTTAAGTTGAATGATAAACTATAACCATTAACTACTGCAAGTCACTAGAAAAAGGCAAAAATTATCAAATATAAGAAAAAAAATAATACATTGATTAAGAAATCACCACAGCTGACAGAATGTTAAAATGCTTCCAAATTACAGTTTTCACGGAGTAAAATGAACCGACCGGAATTTTGTTGTTAAGTGGTGTTTCTGTCGCGCCGGGGGGTAGTTGTTCTTTTGACGGGGTAGTAATTCCATCTGCCTCTTCATACTCTGCTCGCAGTCTCTTCTTTTTGTCCTTCTTATCTTTTTTGTCCTTCTTTGTTTTCTTTTCTTTCTTTTTCTTTATTTTCTAGAAGAAGACAGATGACACATTGCACTAAACACAATAAATGTGAAAACTAGTGCAAAAGAAGTGCCTTATCCTATAAATGGTGTTTGGGTGGGGCACTTGTGAAAAGGTATGGGGTCATGATCACCTGCCCTATCAAATGGATTTTCTACAGGCATTTCAGTTTCTTCTCACATTTAGATCCCCTGCATGCTTCCAACCTTTAAAACGTGTAGTTTCATGTAACACATGGCATGGTAGTCTTTTTTGTCAAATTGAAATGTTTCTCATGGATGGTAATTCTGAAACTGCTAGTTAATTTGGCTGTACTGAAAACCTCCACAAGTCCTTGAAGATTTCTTCAGATTTTGGGTAACACATCAAACAATTCTAAAATATCCATGGTATTTATATTTCAGAGGCTGGTTATGTACCCCTGTACAATGTACTGAGAGGCTTGGCTAACATGACCTACCTTTTTGTCTCCCTCCTCGTCGCTGGAGCCAGCAACCTCCACATCCATATTCTCCACAACAACCGTGGGGTTCGTAGGCGAGGGTGTAGCCCCGTTACTGGATAGCCAGAAGTCAAGGTCATCTTCCTATAGAAATACAAATTAGATGGTATTATGTAATTACGTAGGCTGATTTGTTTTGGATTTGACCTAAAATTAGAAAATTAAAATTTAAACAGATGATTATTTCACGATTTACACATTTGAAGAATATTTTTCGGTGTTTTAGCACAGAGATGGGACACTAGGCATATAAAGTGTCAAATAGTCAACAGAGACGGGACACTAGGCATATAAAGTGTCAAATAGTCAACAGAGACGGGACACTCGGCATATAAAGTGTCAAATAGCCGAATAAATAGGCTCTATGATAGCATACTGATCAACAACAAGTAAGTGTATTTTGTTCAACAAATCATCAACAAAACTATTAACTGTGTGATATAACTATTTTCACACATCATTACTATATCAATTGTCATAACCACGTATACGCTGTTTCATCACAACATTACGGTAATGAAGTTTATTATCAAGGCTCATTTTAAGGCCCGTCACATTATTCTGCAGCTCATATTTTCGCAATCACACTACTGACCCACAAACTCACGAAAATATCATCCCACACGGAAATATCATCCCATGCAGAAATATCCTCCCATGCGGAAATATCATCAAACATGGAAATATCATGACACGGAAATATTATCCCACACGGAAATATCATCTGACACGGAAATATCATCCCACGCAGAAAATATCATCCCACGCGGAAATATCATCCGACACGGAAATATCATCCCACACAAAAATATGCCACACAGTCACATTAAGTATCACGTTAACTGTTTGGACCATATTTCATCGTGCAGGAAAAGACATGGCCACTCACTTTTTCTGTCTGGACGTTATTTGCCTGTGGCGTTTCCACCGTGGTTGGACCGTTGGTGACCATCTCCACCTCGGGCCCACTTTGTGTGTCCGTCTCCAGTAACAAATTAGATACGGAGTCTGTGGCGTCTGATCGCTTCTTATCACGCTTCTTACTCTTCTGTTATAAAAGTAAATGTAGTACAGTATTAAAAGTGCTGCATCTGCAACTCAACGATACTAATTGCTACAATTACAGTAATTTGTCTAAAATGACTTAATAAAGAGTGGTATGTTGTTAGGACAGAACAAATAACAGAATAAACAGTGTATTCCATTTCATCAATTGAGAAGTTAGACACCTAATATTCTCTATTGTTTACTGGCATATTGATTACAACAAGTCTGCAAAAAAACAATTGCCATTATCTCAAAATTCTTAAATCACATTTGACTGCCTCTGTCAATTTTTCAGAAAATAGCCACGTTATTTAACAGTTATACAGTAAAGTGTTTATGTCATATTTATTTTACATCTGAATAAGACCCATGTGCGAGTTACCTTCTCTTTGCCGTCTTTTCTATGTTTTTTCTTATCCTCCTTGTCCTTGTCCTTGGCCTTCCTGTGTTTCCGTCGAGGTTGTTCCGCCATAGCCCCTTCTTCCTGATCATTGTGGGGAGAACCTAAGACAATGTGGTGTTGTCTCACCGGAATCACTTCATCATCTCGTAAAGGCCTGGGGATGGAGTAGAAAAGAAATTATATAAAGGCCTGGGGATGGAGTAGAATAGATATGTCACCATCTTAAAGACATGTACAAAATTTGTGAAACAAAGAATCAGTTCTTGTGGTCGTTGATTTATTGTTGATGAAACATTAATAAACCCAACAGTGCAGAACTACACCAACAACAAATATCATCTCAACAGCCGGAGAAAAAATATCTTCGTACAAGGCGAGTTATTTATGATCATGGAGTTTAGTTCTTTACAACAAAGTTAAAATCTTTATCAATGTTAACCCTTGTACTTTCTTCTCCTTATCTGGATGATGTTTTCTTTTTTCATGTTCTCTTCTACCAAAGTTGAACTATACAGTCATTTCCCCTAGCTAGGATTCATGACCCTGACATGACCACCACCCGCTATTATACTACTCACTCATCCAAGTTGATGTCCAGCTTTTTGTACAATTCATCCGAGTTCTTGTTCTCCTCATTGTCCGACACACTGGCACCCTGAGAAAAACAGCAACCTTTTTTTGTAAAAAGGTACAAAATTACCTTATCCAACTAAATAAATCAACCACCATTTAATATTGATCTCCTTGGTCCAACCAAGATCAGCCATTGCCTCTGTTTTGTTGTTATATATATTGTTTTGATGTTGTTAAGATTCCTGTTGTTGTAGAAAATCAAAGATATCTCTTCATCATAGCATGCTACTGGCTAAACATCATCACCCTTGGCCTCTTGGTTATTCATCAGAAGTTGTTTCAAATTAAAAGTAGATGCCGGACGGATGGACGGACGACTGACGCTACGCCACAGCATAAGCTCACAGGGCCCTTCGGGCTAGATGAGCTAAATAATTCTACACAGTGAAATACTTGGTCTTCTTTGCAAGGACGGACTACATTTTTATGCAGAAGCATTCAAACGTAGCTTTGGTAGTGAATTGACCGTATTTATTTGAGGCCCCAGACGGGATTACTTAAAGACTTTAGCGAAATTGAATAGTTTTTCGAACTAAAAGATGCGAGAAAAAAATCAATCACCTGTAACTGAGTAGGAATGGGTTGTTTCAATCTCAGGCTAAGATTCTGAAACATCCCAACTCTACCTGATGCCTCAGTTAGGGATACAGCATCCTAGCCCTTGACCGAGATAGCCTGATCGCGCTCAGTTACAGGTAATAGATTTAATCAAGTCTCTGACTGAGATAACCTGATCTCGCTCAGTTACAGGTAATAGATTTTATCTAGCCTTTGACTGAGATATCCCGATCTCGCTCAGTTACAGGTAATAGATTTTATCTAGCCTTTGACTGAGATATCCCGATCTCGCTCAGTTACAGGTAATAGATTTTATCAAGTTATTGACTGAGATAGCCTGATCGCGCTCAGTTACAGGTAATAGATTTTATCAAGCCTTTGACTGAGATTTCCCGATCTCGCTCAGTTACAGGTAATAGATTTTATCTAGCCTTTGACTGAGATATCCCGATCTCGCTCAGTTACAGGTAATAGATTTTATCTAG